AACCCTTCCTCCACGGTCACTCCCGCCTGCCCCCCAAACGGGCCCAGACTGCCAGGAACGGCAGGTCCCGAAAAGCAGGACGCGCTGGCGATCGGCAACAGAGAAGTGAACGCAACGAAACCCGCGCGCACTGACGCAGGCAAGCGATCGCGCAGAGAAGCGCGCCCCGCGAATCCCGCTGATGCGACCGTTCGCCGCGGGACCCGCGCCCCAGGCGCGGGCGACCCCTCAGAAGCAGAAACAGCGCAGCGCCGGCAATAGCCCACGGCACGGCGCGCCAGCAGGCACCAAAGGGAGGCAGAAGCAACGCCGCGCCCGCCTGCGGCGGGTCTGGGAGAAGGCGGCTAATGAAGTGCGGGCAATGACGCTGCGCACTAAATCTACATCGGCAAGCAAAGACGCTCGGATTTTCGTCCCTGTGGGTCCGCGCGCAGCCAACAAGGGCTGCTGGGAGGCTCACGCGGGCCCTACGGAAAAACTTCGCACGCACAGTGTCGAGCTGCCCCCGCGTCCATGTGAACTCCCGCGTCCTGAAGATTGCTTTTGTTTGCCAACTCCCAAGCAAAACCCAACCAACTTCTCACCACTGCCACTGCCCAACTGGCCCGAACTTCCATGCCTTTTGGATGTCGGCGATCCTAGGCACCGTGAAGGACCCGAAGCGACACTGATACATATTTCGTAGACAGTTCAGCTGGGGCAAATAACGCATCGGGGAAGACGAGGGGTGCAGTCGCCAACAAGCATGGCGGGTCGCCTTGCCTTGGCGCTGTTGCTGGCGAGGACGGCAACACAGCGCTTGAGCTCGTCCGACACCTCCACCCAGAGCATTCGCAAGCGCTCGCGTCAAACTCACCGCCGCCGAGTTGTGATACACCGCTCCTACTGTTTATGCCTGTATATCCGCCACCGTGCCTCTGGGCACCGAGCGGGCGTGTCCCGGGTCCTGGGCCCAACGGCCCTATGAGCCTCAATCCTGGAGGAGTCTTAAAGGGCCTGGACCCCAAACCCCGACTTCTCCCGAGGCTCCCGGCGTGCCCCCATGGGCCTTGGGAAGTGGTGGCGCGCGAATTTGTTGGGCCCAAGGAGAGCCCCCAAGAGGCCCCCGAGAGGCCCCCCAAGAGGCCCCCAAGAGACCCCCAAGATGGGCCAAGAGGCCTCCAAGACGGTCCAAGAGGGCCCCGAGTCGCCGAACGGTCACTCCAAGACGCTAACGATGACCCCCAGACGGCCAACGAGGCCTCCAAGACGCGCCAAGAGGCTTCCAAGAGGCCTCCCAAGAGGGCCCCAAGAGGCCAACATCATAGATGGTCATTCAGTTTTTAAACGATTTTGGAGTTTACGCCTTTTCGGCTTTCCGATGCTCCAAGACTGCCCCAGAGGCCCCCAAGACCGCCCCAAGACGGCCAAAGAGGTCGGCAAGAGGACCCCAAGACGGCCTAAGAGCGCCCCAAGACGGCCCAAGAGGCGACGGCCCAAAAAGGGACCCAAGAGAGGGAACACGAACGGACAATCCGAGCCTTCCGCCCCACGAAGCCGTCAGGAAGCCCCAAGAAGCGCCCAAGAAGCCCCGGGAAGCCCCCAAAAGGCCTCCAAGAGGTACGGAAACTGAAAAAGCGCCTTCGGAACTTGCCCGAGAGGACTCATGGCACCCTTCGCTCTTGGGAGCCTTGGTGTGAAGAGCTTGTTACGTCGCCGCTCTCCGTTGGGAGCCCTGATGTTCAAAGACTTTCACGTTGCCGCTCGCTCTTGGGAGCCTTGGTGTGACGAGCTTTTTACGTCACCGCGCTCTGGGGAGCCCTGGTGTCAAGAGCTTGTGACGTCACCGCTAGCTGATGGGAGCCATGGTGTTCTTGAGCGTCCCTTGGGCCTCGTCGGACTCTTCTTGGGGCCCTTTTGGAGCCCTTTCGAGGCAATTTTGGGCCGTCTTGGGTCCGTTTGGGGCCGTTTTGGGGCGTCTTCGAGGCCTCTGGCCGTCTTGGGGCTCTCTTAGGGGCCTCTTGGGGCCCTCTTGGGGATCTCTTGGGACTGTCTTGGGGCCCTCTTGGGCCGTCTTGGGGCCCTCTTGGGCCGTCTTGGACCCCACTGGGGCCCGTCTTGGGGCCCCCCTCTTGGACCGTTTTGGGCCCCTTTGGGGGGCCTCTGGGGCCGCCTTGGGACGATCCTTGGGGCCTCTTGGGCCGTCTGGGGCACTTCTGGACCCGAAACGAAAAAGGCGAGAACCCGAAATGCATGCAAACGCCGTATGGAGATCAATGATGTTGGCATCCTCTGGCCCTCTCGGGGGCCCTCTGGAGGGCCTCTGGAGCGCCGTCTCGAAGGTCTCTTGGACCGTCTGGAGGCCATCCGAAGCTCTCTTGGGGCCGTCTTTGAGTCGTTTTGGTACCCTCTTGGGGCCCTTCAACCGCTTCACTCGAAAAATAACAGGAAACGGGCAGTGGAAGGCGCCCGCGAGCCGCTTCACTAGAACCAAATACTAAGTAAACTGCCCCCGCGCGGCTCCCGGGGGGGGGGGGGGGCTGGCCATTAATCAGAGAATTTCGTGCCCCCCCCTCTGCACTCCCCCTGAGGCGCAAACGCCAAACTCAACGTACATTGCTCGTACCTCACTCTTTCCGTCACCTGGGCCGGCACGGAAACGGAAAGAGCGCCTCAGGAACTGGGCCGAGAGGACTCATGGCACCCTTCGCTCTTGGGAGCCTTGGTGTGAAGAGCTTGTTACGTCGCCGCTCTCCGTTGGGAGCCCTGCTGTTCAGAGACTGTTACGTTGCCGCTCGCTCTGGGGAGCCCTGGTGTGACGAGCTCTTTACGTCACCGCGCCCTGGGGAGCCCTGGTGCCAAGAGCTTCTTCCGTCACCGCCAGCTGATGGGAGAGCTACGCGGTGTTCTTGAGCGTCCCTTGGGCCTCGTCGGACTCTTCCTATGGCGGCCCTCGTGGAGCCCTTTGGGAACCCTTTCGTGGGGCAGTCTTGGGGCCGTCTTCGGGCCCTTGCGTCTTGGAGGCCCGTGGCCGCCCGTCCCTCTTCGCGCTTCCCCTCCCCAACTTCGGCGTTAGATTTGGGTCGGGCCTGTCCCCCTGCAGGGGGATTTTGGACAACGAGTAGAACATACCCAAACAATGCTCGAAAGATGACCAAACATGCTCAAAACATAGCCCCCCGACTATTTCTTGACTATTTCTGGATATTCCCCCTGTAGGGGGACAGGCCCGATTTCACGTTAGATGGAGGATGAGGCGGAGCAAGGAGGAGGGAGGAGGATACTCCGGAGAAGGAAAAGATGGATAAGGAGAGGGAAACGTGTGGGAGGAGAGAAATGAACATGATATGATCATGGTATGCAAGGCGCGCGGGAATGCATAGGCCTCGCCGACTCCTGGGAACTTGGCAAATGTAGTACCTCGATGCTCTTCCTCGTTCTCTTCGTCGCACTGTGCCGTCACACTCCTTCTCATCCTTCTGCTACCCCTTGCTTTTCCTCTCCTCCTCGTCCTCCTCCTCCTCCTCCTCTAACCTCCCTCCCCCCCCCTCCCCCCTGTTTCTGCCTCCTCCTCAACACATCTCCTCCTCATGAGGGCTGCCGAGCGGCACCTTCGCTGGCTCACCCTAGTAGTGGGGGTAACCCCACGTCTTCTCCTACGTCAATCTGCCTATGGCCCCAGCGGAGCTCCACCAACAACACATCCTCCTCATCCTCCTCGCTCTGTTCTTCGTTCTTGGAGCTCACTGCATCACGTCCACCCCTCCCCCCATGTCAACCACATGTCCCATCGACAAAACTCGGCATATCCATGCTCGCGCCGGGCCAGAGGGCACGTCGAGCTTGTGAGCATCAAAGAACAAGATAATCATCGCGGCGTGATCCGCGAACCACGTAACGACCTGCCGCGTATCGAAATGCATCGTTGGCTCACCGACCTTCCTCGTAATGGGCACTGTCGAACTGGCTGGCTTTTCCTCGCACTGAGCCACCAGGCCTCCGCAGGCAGGGGAGAATGGTGCCTTCTTTGTTTGTTGCGAGTTTTTCTGGGTGTGACTGGATTGAATCGTCGCAGCGGCATCGTCGATCAGGATAGCAGGAATGATGGTGACGGTGGCGATGAGGGCGGCACTGTATCTTATGGCGGTGGTGATGCGTGGCAGTGGCGGGGTGATGTGGGCGAGACCTTCTTTAACAGGCGGGGGTGGCGGGCTTGCCTTCAATTCAATTATGAATACATGCATCCATACATACATCTATTTTTATATACATATACATACACAAATGCACACAGAAAATTAGATTACATATCTGAAAATGGCATAGCGGTGCTATTCTTAGAAGTCCGACTGTGTCACCATAAGTGACAATCTATGAGCTGCATACATAAAGCCCCCAAGACCCCCAACAAGCCCCCAGGAAGCCCCAAGAAGCCCCCAAGAAGCTCTGAGAGGCTTCAAAACTGCTCCCCAGAGGCTCCCGAGAGCCCTCCGAAGACACCCCAAGAAGCGTCCAAGAGGACTCTGACCCACAACCCAGGTATGTCTCGAAACTCAGCTGGAGCTCTCTTGAGCCATCTTGGCACCCCCTGGGGCAGTCGCTCGGCTCACATCTCTAAAAACTCCTCGAGGACAATCCTGCCTGCCCCCACCGTTCCACATGGGTACGAACACACCACCATGCAGCCACCGTGGTGCGAAATGGGCCGGCGGAATGAGCGAAGCGATTCAAAACATACAAGTATATGAGCTGCATACATGCGATGACTTATGCGTGCGTACACACGTATCTGTTAGCATATCGATACACCTATATACATGTATCGATATACACATATAGATGTATATGAACAACTGCTGGGGAACGGAGAAACACTGGCAATCCGCTTTGGACTTCGCCATTTCCGCTGCGCGTTTTCGAGAACTCATCGGCAGAATCTAGGCTTTCGCTTGAGATGCCCTCGCCAAGCCGCAGATCTCTGGCGGATTCGTCAGAATGTCCCCGCACTTGGAACCATGATG